CGTGACGCGGCCCGCGGGGAGCCTGAGGGCGGGCGAGAGCGCGCGCGCGCGGGCACGAAGGCAGCGCAGCTTGGACCGTGACTGAGAACAGAGCTGCACCCAGAGGGCGTTTAAGGGGAGGACCCAGCGAGTGCGCTCCCGTCTGGCGAGCTCGTGTCCGACGATTAGAAGCAGCCGCGCGGAGGGGAAAGGGTGGCCTGTGTGAGGGGCGGGAGGAGGGTGGAGGGGGGACTCGCGCCCCTCCCTCTCTTCCTTCCCGGAGCGCCTCGGCTCGCTCCTGCTCCCGCCCCCTCCAGATCGCCCTTTCCCTCTTGCCGCGGCCTGTGATTGGCTGGCCGGCCTCTGACGTCCGTGTTTCCATGACGTAGCGATGCGAGGGGGGGGGGAGAAGGGAGGAGGAGGAGAAGGAGGAGGAGGAGAAGGAGGAGGAGGAGGTAGGGGCGACTGGGGCGCACGGGGCGGTGACACCGTCAGTCACCGCGGCTGTTTCAGCGTGGGGCCGGGCGGCTCCCGCGACGTGTGGAGGCAGGAGAGCGATGACTGCCGCAGAAGTGAGGACACCCTTACACCTGAGGCCCCGACCGAGCCATCCCGGGTCTGGCGGCCCTCTAGGGCCCCGGAACGGGCTGGGCTGGGCGGGCGGGCGGGCGAGGGTGAGCACTCCTGGCGAGGACAGGTTGGGGCGAACTCCCCCCCCCCCCGCCCCAGTCCGCGGACATTTGAGCGGCTCGTGTCCGCGCCCACTGCATACCAGACTCGGTGCCGGTCCCGGGGTAGTGACACACGCGCTGGAAGACCAAAGTGGCTCCCAGCGTGTCCCCTGCTTGGGAACGAAGCCGGGTGCCTGCGGTGCGCCCCGTCACAGATACCGGGGATCCCCACTGCTGCACCCAAAGGGCTTGACTCAGGTGTGCGGCCAGTGCACACGGGCCTTGCGGGGTTCGTGCTCAGTAGACGTGTATTTCTGGTTTAGGTTTGCGCTCTCTACCTAAGCCGGTAGCATTTACATTCACTTGTAGTATTTTAACCCGGCTGCCCTTCTTTTCCAGAGGGGAAAACGGGTTGTGGGGGTGGGGGAAGGACATGCCTCCTTCCTCCCCACCCCTCCCAACACAGAGAGAGACAGACGCACAGACAGAGAAACAGAGAGACTCAGAGAGAAAAGGAAAACACTGGGTAATGTGCAGTGTTTAAAGATAATCCTTGCTTCACCCAAGTTAAAAAAAAATCATCCATCTTGTCATCTACTTTAAAAATATAATGTTTTTCCTTCCTGTACACACACGCACACATTTAAACGAGTATCATATTCCATCTTTGTCTAATCGCCTCTATTTGAACTTACCATCTCTGCTCACTCAAACCTTATCAGTGTTATTCTCAGTATCGCTTAACCAGAACAACAACAACAAAAAGATAAGTTTTGCAGTCTTCTTTCACCTAACTCTCTTGAGTGGAAGAATGAATTGCTTTTCACTCTTCTCAAAAGCACCAAGGCAATAAGAAATGTGTAGTCACTATCTGATAGTGTTTGTTGAAAAATATTTTAAGGGCTTAGAGACAAAATACTTGATGACTAAAAGGAACTACTTTGAAATTATTATTCGTTGAGAATATTATTTTTCAGTTTCTATAGTGTAGTAGGTTCACATTCCAACCTTCTGAGCTGCGTCCTTGATGTTCAAAATTAGCCCTGGACATAATGATAGCATTTTTTCCTCTTTAATTACTGTTAGAGAATTGGCTAGTGTAGTACAATAAATATTTTCTACACTATTTTAAATCTTAATAGAACAAATTAACTAAATTTCACTTAGGTAATTTGAACTATTCTTTCTCCCTGAAATATCTTTCAGAATGGCTTAGACTCATGTAAGATTCGTTGGCTTTTTTCCAACTTTTCCTCCAAGGAAGTCACAGTAGAAAATTGAGTTTTGTATTGTACTTTAGTCAAGAATTTGACATTAAAGTAATATATGAGTCATTGCTTTAGTACACTAGCAAAATGGGTAATAGATTAAACTAGAATCTGTTCTTTGTGACTTCGTTGCAATTTTAAATTATAAAATGTATGCTTTTAAAGTATTGTGATTATGAAAATTGCTGAGCATCTTCATTATAGAACATTATTTCAATCAAGTTGCTATTTCTAGGTATGTAGATGTATCCATAAATGAAAGCCTATGTACCCTAGAACATAGTTGTATGCATTTAAATGAAATGTAAGTCATGTATCACATACATGATAAACCTGTACTCTGACTGTCAAGATACTTATTGGTTTGTATATTTTCATTCTTTGAATACAAAATAAAAGTTGGAAGCAATATAGAAATAGTAGCACATTACATAAGAAATTCAGTGTTTTCCTCCCAAAAGTTTGGCATTCAAATCTTCTTAATGGCATATTTATTAACATGGAAGTCCTGAAAGTATTGGATTCTTAATTAGTACTTCTGTTTCTCTTTTTTCCAGTGCTGGGGAACCCAGGGCCTTAAGCACTTTACAAGTGAGTAGACCCTCAGCTGTTGAGCACTATTGCTGAAAAAGAAAATTAACTTTGTGCAAACAGTGATGCCATTGTATATTACATTAACCATATCACCTTAATCTTAGACTTAATTTATCTCATGGATTTAATAGGCTTGGAGATTTATTAGTGTGTAAAGAGTAGCAATACAATAAAGCAAATTACTGTTGAGATTCTTAAGGTTACAAAGTGTTTACAAATAAACTTTTTAGCTTCAATATAAAAACCATGAAGACACTTAAGCCCTACATATGTTATTATTTGGGATGGCCACACTGAGTCAAGGTTGCATATTGAAAATATTACACAATATTAATCAGTATATTCCTTTTAATGGAGGAAATCTGGACTATTGACATATTTGGTGGTTAATTGATCAATTCAATATGTGTAACTCATGGAAAGAGTTTTCTAAAATCCTCAATGTAATTAAAAGGAAATACTAGGATCTTTGTTCCTTCAATAACACTATTATATGCATCTTAAATGGAATGAAATAAAGACATATCTATAATAGCATATTTTTAAAACCACATGTTCCCAAATGTATACACACACACACACAAAGTGCCAGGCCATTGTGGAATACTAAAGGACTGATGGCTGTACAGAAGGGAGGAGAGATACTAAATGTTTTATTAAATAGCTAAATGAAATGTTTCCATTTCTCTCCTGTCAAGAGAAATATTATTTAGTTGAGAACTGTTATTAGCTACAAGTTAATGACATTTGCTAAATTAATTACGAGTATGCCTAAAAGAACAATTTTTAAATCAAATAATAGGAAATTTTTATACGACAAAAGCATAAAATGACAAAATGTCACCATTTGGTGAGAATTTTTTAGTTCCTACTTTTTGCCCTTTTAGGTATACGGCAGTTTTTCTACTCCAAAGGTTGTAAAATGTAGGATATATAGACATATACTATACTTGTACATTTAAATTCCAGAAAGTAGAAAAAGAGATCATATCCAAATATTTTTAAGGAAAGTTGCTTTCTCTTTCTTTTATTATTAAGTAGTTGTATAAAGAGGTTTCACTTCCATAAGTTCGACTATGAATACAATACATGTTGATCAAATGTCACCCTTTTCATCACTCTTACCCATTTTTCCTTTATTTCTACCCTCAAGCTACGTAGTTCAATTTACATAATGTATATTGAATATAAGGATCTGACTTGTGCCACAAAAGATAACCAGAATTTAAATTAATGCAAAAGAAGATAGGCTGTAAAATAAATGTCAAAAAAGGTATCTTAAAGTTAACATATTTACATTTATTTCACTTTTTTTTTTGCCAGTCTAGGGCTTGAAATCCAGGCATGGGCATTGTCTCTGAGCTCCTTTTGCTCAAGGCTAGTATTTTACCACTTGATCTACAGCTCCATTTCCCACTTTTTCTGTGATTGACTTGGAGAGTAAGTCTCAGGTACTTTCCTGCCAGGGTTTGCTTCCAACCACAATCCTCAGATCTCATCAGCCTCCTAAGTAGCCAGGATTACAGGCATAAGCCACCAGCTCCCAGCTTTATGTTCTTTTATTATCTTAAAACATATACTTTATGTTTCTTAGTAGTCCTCTCAAGTAGAATCCATTCATTTTCCCATCAATAATAATGAATTATAATGAGGCTTGGGTGAAATATTTATATCAAGTCTTAATAAAGATCTTGTTTTTTGTTTTTTTTTGAGACAGGATATTGCTATGTATCCAGGCTAGCCTACCACTTACAATATAACCTGTCCTGGAGCTCTCCTTGTCCCTTCTTCCCAGTGCTGATAGTATAGGTATACACTACCATACCCAGCTTAATATAGTGTTTGGTGTGGTATGAGTTTTGAATATATAGTCATTATTAGACATGTTA